CTACTACCCTGAAATTCTCATCTCTATTGATTAAAACCCAACTGCAATCACTTGCGTTCTTGTTAGTTTAGTTAATTATTCATTTAATTTCAGCAACAATAGTTCAGTGAAAAAACCATCTCTTTTGATCACCTTGAATAGATATTTGATTCTAGTTGCTTAGTTAAACACTTGAACTAAGCCTTTTGTAGATTCGACATTCGACTTTTAAATCACTTTATTACTTGATGATCACGTATCCTTGCATGTACTTGGAGAACCAACGAGCAACAACAACAACAACAACAATATTGATGAAAACTCCTCTTCCTTCAAGCCTAAACAACATTGGAATAACAACAACAACAACAACAACAAGCCGAGTAATTTCCTAACCGATGATTTGGTATAGAATATTGGAATCTTATCCAGAATCCTAACCGATGAGTTGGTATACTGTGCCAATTGTTTGAGAAGAACTTCATGAATATTTATGCATAACCGAGGTTCCTTTGCACCTAAAAGATTGTGTGCAGAAACTTTTCTGTTGTAAGTTTTCTCAAGCAAAACTCACGCAATACATCATGAAGAATGCAGTATTTTATCTCACCGTTGTATTCTCTCCTTTTAGAAACCATTACTAGGCTTCTGTTNGTTTGGGTCACCGCTGCACAAGAAAAGGGGGTTTTCAGGAAGAAGTTGAGGAAAACACGCTTTAAAAGATGAACAGTGAGAAAATACTTACGTTTGAGGTTCCACCTCTCCGGAAATGGCATGCAATCGGCCGGAATCAGGTCGGACGTCCTGATCCGGACAAACCTGCTCATCCAGCCTCGATCTTTGTCTTCATCGATGCTGGAGAATGGGGGTTTGCTAGCCCGGCGGGCCAGTTTTATTAATCCCCCTCGAAATATTCGGGGGCTGTATAGTCGAAGAAGATGGTCGAGGGTAAAGGGGAAATCGCCCTCGACTCTCTCAACAAAAAACCGAAAGAGATATACGATCCGCCACATCGAGGGGTGGATCTGACCTAAGGTCACCTCGTACCGCCGGCAGAACTCCACTATGATGGGTTCTAAGGGGCCTAAGGTGAAGGGATATGTATATACGCTAAGATATCCCTCGACGTGAGTCATAATCGACTCGTCACGGGAAGGGGCGACCAGGTCTTTCCCTTCCCATCTACATTCAGCCCTCACCCGGTCTAGGCAACCGGGAGTGATTAGACTAATGTACTCCGATGCCGGTTCGCCGCGGCCCGGGACCGATGATGGGTTTTCAACCTGGAAGTCGGCAGATACCGAGCAACCAGTCGGTGTGAATGCTTTCAATGGGGGTTCTGGTGCATGTTCATCAGATCTAGCGGGGCTCGCGGCCGAGCTTGGTCTAGAAGGAACACTTTGTGAAGTTTTCGCCATTTCTTAAAGCTTTACGAAGAGACGAAAAGAAAATACAACCAATGCAGAATTTGAGAAAGATAGGAAATGTTGAACCTGGAAGGGTCGTTTATACTTTTTTCATGAGGCGGTGGCACGAATCGCGAAGCCACAAACACGAAGCGACAGATAATTAAGAGAAGCATTAAATGCCTGCAGCAGGCGTGGTCAGAGCACTCGATGGCTTTCTCACCTGGCGTATGGCCATACGTCACGGGCATCACGTCACCGGTCATATCGTTTATTATCATTACTCTCTAATAAACGAGGGGACTATCTGTATTGGGTGATACCCTTTTGCTTGAGCCCGACCGGGTTGGATCCGGTCCGGAGCAAGTCGGGGCCATCGAACCCGACCTGGATGCAAGGTAGAACGACGGCCACGTCTACAACCGAGGTCGAGTCATTTCGAGACCGTTACAGAGCTCGAAAGGAATCACCACCGGATGGAGAAACACACAAGGTCGGAAGCCGGGCTCGTAACGGATAACCAAGCTTCGCCGGATATCTCGCCCAAACGTGATTTTCTCAACCACTTCAGGCCATTAAGGCGTAATTACAGGGATCCACGATGTAATCAATTTACCTACCTTATTTTTACCCTTAGTCAGAATGTATAAATGGGTATCTCTCTAAATTCTTGTGGATCATCAAGCACAATTGTTCTAAGCAATATTATGTTCTGCAATTATTTACTTTAACAGCAATTGTTGAGTCTTTATCTTTATTTTCCTTAACCTAAAAACCTTTTGTATCTTTTAGTTCACGGATCCTTAAAACCCCATATAAATTCAATTGTTATCCGGATTCGAGGGTAAACAATACTCTTGCGCAACTTGTCAGGCATGTCTTCATCTCTGATACCATCTGTATCGCCTATAGCTTGTTTAAGAATCTCAGAGAACACCTTCCTCAAACTATAGTCTTTGGAAATAGAGCACCATGCTCGAACGTCAAAGTGTTTACTATCAATAAAATGATTGAACACCTTTCTAGCCAAAGTTGTTTTGCCTAATCCAGGCATTCCAACAATCGAGACAACGTCTAGTTCCTTTGTTCCTCCGGTCAGTTGTTGAATTATATGTTCTGCATCATCCTCAAAACCAACAGGTTCCTCATCAATCGATGGATGACTACGTTGGATGGAAGCCATTGCATGAGCAGGAGTTCTTTGACTAGTCGGAACGTTCTCCATGTCAGTTAGCTCGGTCTTAATTATACTGCTGTTGGGAAGTAAATATAACTATCTTAGAACTGATTGCTCGTCATACAGTTAGATAAATTGACAAAGAAGTCAAAGTTTAATAGTCTACTAGACCTAGGAATCGAAAGAATAATTTTTTTATGATGGTGGTGCCAGGGTCAACTTGAATGAAACTAAGGCCTGGTATGTACTACCTCCCACTAACACAGATACCGGGTTACTTTGTCCACCAAGGTTTAGGCAGATGGATAAGTGGTGTCAAGGTTAGCTTGAAGGAAACTAAGGTAAGGTATTTGCTACCTCCCACCAACAGAGGTACCAAGTTACTTTGTCCACCAAGGTTTAGGCAAATGGAAATGGTGGTAGCAGGGTCAGCTTGAATGAAACTAAGATAGGTATCTGCTACCTCTCACCAACATAGGTACCGGGTTACTTTGTCAACCAAGGTTTAGGCAGATGGAAACGGTGGTTTTAGGGTCAACTTGAATGAAACTAAGGTCCGGTATCTGCTACCTCCCACCAACACAGGTACCCGATTACTTTGTCCACCAAAGTTTAGGCAGATGAAAATGGTGGTGTCAGGGTCAATTCGAATGAAATTAAGGCCAGGTATCTGCTACCTCCAACCAACACAGGTATCGGGTTACTTTGTCCACCAAGGTTTAGGCAAATGGAAATGGTAGTTTCAACAGCTTGAATAAAACTAAGGTCACGTATTTGTTACCTCCCACCAACATAGGTATCGAGTTACTTTGTCCACCAAAAATTTAGGGAGATGGAAACAGTGTTGTGGGGGTCAGCTTGAATGAAACTAAGGCCAGGTTGAAATCTTATGTTGAGAGAGGGAGTAACATAGGATTAATTAACTAGAAAAGAAATGAAATTTGAAACAATTAATAATTGTTGTGAAGAAGATTTAGAGTACCTAATAATGATTAAGAAAATAATACGAAGTGCTTTTAATCTTCTAGCTTCCTCTGCGGCAGAGCTTCAATTGTTGTCAAGAAGGTGTAGTTCTTTTACTTTATGGCTTTGGACTAAAAGATAAACTGATAATTAATACTCCATAGTGGGAATATTAATAGTATGTAATTAAATAAATAAACAAACAAATATTTGTTTATCAAACTTAAGTTCAGATTTAACGAAAATTTAAATCTCTCCATCACATGGCTGTACGTAGCCCAATGGTACGACTAGAATATAAAATAATTGTGATATGTGCTCTTTCAATCTTTTTGGAAAATTTGAATTTCGATCCTTGAAATGTACCTATTATTTTAATTAAGGAGTTATACAGATTAATTTTAATCAATTTTTAACTCAACATTCCTCTGTCATTGTCATTTAAAAAAACTTATGAGTTGGACTCAATTAGGTGACATATTTTAATATGTTAACAAAAGATGCTCAAGCTAAGGAGGGATTTTGAGGTGAAATCAGAAATAGCCAGATTTACAAATGATAATTGAAAAATAGCCACAGTTTCAAAATTTAGCCATTTTTTTATGTAAAGATAAAATTTGAACAAAAACACCCTTAAAATTCTAGAAATATTCTAGCATAATATGTTGGAGTTCGAAATTTTTACATATGAGATTCCAGCATAATGTGTTGGAATTCCAACATAATATACTGGAAGTTCATACGCATGAGCTCGATAATACAGCATATTATGCGGGAACAATCCGTGTTTCAGCAAAATAGTAACTATTTTTCAATGACTTTGCAAACGCTGGCTATTTTTCAGTTCGTAAACTAGCCAGCCCGTGCTATTTTCACTTTCTTTTGCTTAGCCAAAACACAATGCAACCCGATCACAAGCTCCGCAATGTCCAGGAAAGGGCCGCACCCCAAGGGTGTGATGTAGACAACTACCCTACTACAAACATTAGTAGTTGCTTCTATGGCTAGAACCCTTGACTTATAGGTCACACAGAGACAACTTTACCGTTGCTCCAAGGCTCCGCTTCCGCCAAAACACAGTTGTTCCTTAAAAATATTTGAAACTTTAGCACATTAGAGTGGCAACTCGATACTATTCTGGTATTTTTGGTGGAGCTTCCCTATCAACGTTTTGGAATTCACACAATAGCCTTCTGAGTGTGTACAATATAACCAAAACAGCGATTTGCATATGAAAGGGAAACATCTAATAGTAAAAGAAATTTTAATCTTATTTACAAGAAAATGGGAATTCTTTACTATTGGAAGTAATTGAATGAGTTACAACATCCTCCCTGTTCTGTGATTATTGTGATGTTACATAACAATCAAGGTAAAGCTGTACTGAAATTGGATGTTAAACAATAAAAGGGATGAATGATTATACATAAAAAGGCAAGAAAGAAAGGTATTCCTCTTGGAAATCTTCAACTCTATATATATATGAACAGCTTTTACCAAATGGCTTGTGTTTGTCACCTTTATATTCTTCTTGCCCATGCAATAAACTTTCGAAAGCTCTATCAAGCGCTTCCAAGACGCGTGCTTCCCAGACGTTCTTCAGCCATTTGTTTTGATTCATCGCTATTGTTCCAAAGGTCTTTCAGTTCGCGTCTCACCAAACCCAGTACCACACAAGTTCCTAGACAATAAAGGTTTTAAAACGATGAAAAACTAAACATCAACTTTAACTAAGTGGTCATTACTTTGTCATACCTAGTGTGCATGGCACGAGATATAGGAGAGCGGGTTGACCGTGTCCCTTCATTAAATACAAGCCCAAGTAAGTAAAGCAAAGACCTGCATGGATTTTAGATTGATTAAGGCGAGGAATGAATGAAATGCAGGTAGAAAAGTAAGTAAAAAGGAGGAAGGAAACAGAAAAAGAATGATAAATCATCAATATTGATTTACATGTAAAAAAATAGAATTAACATACACGGCACACAAAACAATTTACGTGCAGACTTATAAGCAGAAGAAACATTGTTGTATTACGACAGTTGGAGGTTTGGCTAAATGCTTAGTGTGCCAGCTGGTTAAGGCTGAGCACCAGAGACCAGCAGGACCCTTACAGCCAGTTCAGAGGCATTGAATGAAAGAATTGTACGTTGGAGTGAGAATCTCAAAGCAATGCATTATGGGAGCCGTACTCAGTAAAGAGAGACTTCTTCTTCTGAGTTTCGTTTAGTTGATTCAATTTTTGTGGATAACTGTGGTGTCCGGGCCAGGATGAGCGCACCTCGACTAATTCCATGGGGTAACTGCTACCTCCCACCAGCACAGATACCGAGTAACTCTATCCACTATATGGATTTCATTTTTATCGGAGCATGTGCGTTTAAGTATTAATTGCCATTTGTACACAAATGAAAAGCCATTCTGTTTAATGTTTTGCGGCAATTTTTTGTAGAGTCATGTGGGTCTTTGATCTTTTCAAGGTTTTTATGGTCTCGAGCAACTAAGAGCAGCAGTAATGCATTAAAACAAGCGGATCTGGATTAACAAAATAAGAGCAGGTAAAAGCAGAAAGGGCCAGAAAAAACAACAATAAATCCAGTGAATTCCCACAAGTGGGTCTGGGGAGGGTAGTGTGTTCGCAGACCTTACCACTACCTTGGGAAGGCAGAGAGACTGTTTTCGATAGCAGCCACAAAAAACAAAAAAATAAAATAAAATAAAAAAGAAGAAGGAAGGAAGAAAAGAGAAGTACCCACCGGTTCCGTAACCAATCATCAGCCAAAGGAAGTATCCATTTAGTACTCCCTTCTTTCTAGCTTCGTCAAATCTGGAAAAGAAGATTAAGAAAGAGATTAAGAAGTCAAAACTAAATCGCCATCATTCTGTAAGAAAAAAACAAGTGAAGTTTGAAAAACAGAGCTGCTAAGCCATTGCAATTTATTTGGTCAACAATAACCATTGACTTGAAAACATCCTCTGCTGCATTCCCCAACCATTTATCCAATTTTAGTTTTCCCAACTTTTAACCATTGTCACCGAAACCATTTGTAATACTTCTAAACTGCAATACTTAGAGATGTTTCATAACAAATAAGAATTTCCATCAAAACCCAGATCGTCATTATATCAAAACGTTCATGACTAAATTAATATATATTCTCCTTATAGACGCCTAAAATGAGAATACCCTTTAAGAACAAAGGTAGAGAAGACCTATTTAATCGAGGTGATGCGCTTATCTTTACTTTTCTGAAAGAGAGTAACAATTATTGTTGCAAGATGTCTGAAGAGCACAAATACCTGTATGTAAAGCAAATTAACAAACCAGGGAAGAGAATATCCCCAAAGCCAAGCATATCAAAGCCATTATAAGGATCTGTTAGTTTAGGAACCCTCAGAAGCATCGGGATTGATTCTCCACCAGCTTTCTTACCTTTAGCAACCTACAACAGGGGCCAAATCCGCCAATACAAAAACTTAATGACGGAGACTGAAGAGCTAAACTATCTTCTGGTATGTAGTGCATGACAAAAATCGTGTTTTGATATAACACCATCCAATCCAGCATAATAAAGAAAGCAGCACCAATTAACCAATCAAAATAAAATTCAATTAACATATACCAAAAAGAAAAGAAAAGCAACATTTAAACCATTAAAAGATAAAAACATACATGTGTGCACATTTAAAATCACACAAGTGCATCTAATATGTTTTAAACAATCTGGATCAGCTTAATAAAAATAGTTACCTAGTTCTGTGCAAATCAATTAAAAGCTTTTGTTTCATTTTGTGAAATTTCCACAATCCACGTCAATTAGTTAAATAGTCAAAGAGCCTCGAAAGAAGTTAAATGTATACTGCTACTTTGCACGCATGCATGTTACATATGCTAAGCAATGACGAATTATGGATTAATTTTAGATTCTAAAATATACTATTTCTCAAAACTAAGAATAATAAAATTTTAGATTAATTTAATTTTTCTTCATTTTCTCATCCAAATTTATGTCAAACCAACTCATGATATGATTTGAACACTTCCAAACCAATATATCACTCAAGACATCCCCCAAAAAGGTTTGCGACCCAGATAAGTTATATGCATCAATGGTACGGACTGAAATTGTAACTAAAGAGAAAACTTACTGAAATCATAACACTATCATGGAATATGGTAGGAGATAGGAAAACCCAGAAGATGTCATAGACAAATGCGCAACACAGAAGCACTGTAGCGACCTAAAAGAGAAAGGAATGACATAAATGAGAAGTATATTAGTAAACATAGGTAAAGCAAAACAAGAAATCAAGTGTTTTCACGAGTGAGTTTATAGAAGCTATCACACACCTTTATATTAGGCAACTGAGCCAACTGCAGAACAGTGATCATCAAAGCAATTCCCTGGCGAAAATAAAATTCTCTTTTATTTTAAACAGTTTTCAGCTGGTGTAAATATCTAGAAGAGTGAGACTTGGTGATATGGATGCATAAAACTGTATTATCCTAGAAATCATATAGCAGATTTAAAGAGATCATTCAACTAATAACACAAATAAATATCCAACTGCAAAGGTCTATCACACAAACGACAACATAAAATAGTTTAGGAAGAAACTATAGATCAAGCTTACAAGAATGTCTTGACCAATCCAAGAGTATGATTCTTTCCTGTTTACTGCCCAGAAGATGGCGAACGCCACACAAAGTAATAGGACAACTAGAGACAGAATAGTGACCTCCCCAAGAAGCGGCAAATTCAGTGTTTTCTTTCCACAACTTCTACATTTGCTGCTTAAAAGATTGTAGGAAGCATAGTTGAAGATCTAATCAAAAATTCTACACATAAATATGACACAGACATCATGGGTCAATAGATCATACCTTAGTATGAGCGACACTATGCAGTTATGCAGTCCCTGAGAAGGAAACAATTAAAGAATAAAAGTTCAACAAGCAGAAAAAATGTTGACCAAGCACAAACAAGATTAAGTTTTGCTCAGCCAAAAATGTAGAATGTGCATATGATCATGATATAACTGCATATGTTGCACAAATCAAGCATCAAAATCAAATGTATGCTAATAATTTGAAAGTGAATGAGTAGTCAGAAAATAGATAACCTGACCTACAAAGACCACAGATATGGACTTGAGCACGTCAACTCAGAAAAATTGAAAGCTAACTAAAGCATATGGATCTGTAAGTTCACATATTATAATTACATCTATAAGCAGATGGAAATGTTAACCTTTCAGAAGATTATGGCAGGCACAATTATCATGGAAAAATGCTTGTATCGCACAAAATGTTGACTAAATTTACTGTTCCTAAGATCTAAAGTGGAAAGCATAGATAACTTAAGGTCTGTGATGCAACCAGAAAATTAAGCCTAAATACACCTCATCAGCCCGAGCACTCCCTTGACATTGCAGTACCCCCCCCCCCCCCCCCCCAAAAAAAAAAAAAAAGCCAATCTCTTTCTTCTTGATCCAAACAAAATCAGTATAGAACTCTTCAATCTTAAAATTCGTTTCTTGTTCATCCAGATCAACGAGCTCATTTACCCCTCTTCTTCCTCTTTTCATTATTGAACCCGTAATTGATTTCTTCTCTAAAATTAAGTTGGATTTTTTAAACTCAAAAAGAATATCAAGAAATTGGGTTTTGGTGGCCAATTTCAATCTAAATTTTGTAATCGCTTCTCTTAAATTAGCTTAAAGAAATTGAGTTTTGGTGGCCAACCTATCCATCTTCACCGGAAATTAAGCTCTCCACCGAGGACCCCTCCCCCGATCCCCGTTCCCCCTTTTCTTCTTCTTCATCTTCGTCAATGGGGTGATAGTAAACAATGGTGGTTGTTCTGGAAATTAATAATTGTATGGAGTGTAGGATGGTGTTGTAAAGGATGCAATAAGAGGGTGGTGAATACTAGTGGTCTGGTGGTTTACAGTGGTGTTCTTTTGGTGGAGAAAAATAGAGATAGAAGAAGTTGGTACCGGCGCCGCCAGTAACGGCAGTAGCGACGGAAGTGTTGGTTTTGGCGGCGATTCTAGCGTGGGGTTTGACCTTCTTCCTCTAATGGTATTCACAGATTGAGTTGGTTGAGAAAAGAAAAGGAAAAATATATTTTCTTAAGGTTTCACGCGCTTAAAAACAAGTGAAACACGCTTGTTTTGCCATCTCAGCATGAGAGGTATACGAGGCTCACTTAAACCAACATAAAGTGTCTAGATGGTCACCTGGTAAGTTGGAGTGTGAGATAGACATCTGGGGCCAACTTTAGGTGTCTCTTTATGTATTTTGCCATTTACTTTTGTTAATCCTTACGGTATGTGATTGTACACATCGTACAGGACTAGCACTCCCAGTCCCAGAAATTTCTTTGAATATTTTTATCAAGGGTCTAAGGCCGGAGAGTGGGGGCATGACAAATATTTGTACACTTGAGTGCTCGATTTGACCAGCTATGAAACAGTTACTACTGAAGCACAAAGTCATATCATTTCCGTGATTAGTTTGTAGGTAGAGAACTAGATTAACAGGAAAAACTGCTATATGCACTGAAAATATTGCAAGGAGGAATATTTTAGTTCAGTAACATAATAATTCATAAATCCATCATTGTATAAATTATTAGGCATTGACAAACACATTCTTATAAAAATCTTTAGAACTTCAAGTTTATCTTCCATTTTCTTTGTGTAACATACGAACAGATACATGATATCATTATCTTGCTCATCTGTTAGATACTAAATGCATGGCCCCAGACTATCAACTAATTCAACAACAACAACAAACCCAGTGTAATCCCACAAGTGGGGTCTGGGGAGAGTAGTGTGTACGCAGACCTTACCCTGCCTATAGGAAGGCAGAGAGGCTGTTTCCAGTAGACCCTCGGCTCAGGAAAAAAGAACGAGATGATTTAAAACATTACAGGAAAAAAAAATAGTGCCATGAAATGAGATGGTTTTATCAGACCAAATTGTATTGGTTTAGAGGAAAGTCAAGATGGAGAAAGAACGAATTTGAATACCTCAATTCCACCGATACAGAAAAGTATTATCAGCAGCCAGACAAACCAAGTCGACATGAAAAAGTAAAGTAGCACCAGAAATGTGGATGCTGAGATGACAAACCCAATAGCAGTCCATGCAGTAATGTGCAGAATTTCATCATCATCATCCTCCTTGGCTACTACATCGTCATCCTGTAACGAAAACATATCAATTTTTTACGCCATTACAGACAAGGCATCATTGGGTGTTATCCAAATTTGACACACAAACTAGAAGTAGGAAAACTAAAGGAGACATGTTCACAGTATGCTCATAACACACAAAAATAGAGCATACATCAAATTCAGTTATAGATGCATGTATGCATGTGTGTGTGTGTGCACGCGCGCACGCAAACACACATAGACCAATCAATTGTTCAAGTATATTTTAATCTCAAATCAACTGAGGTTATATATGAATCTTCGGCTCCGTTCCACTGTATTCAGGTATATTTCATTCCACTGTATTCCAACATATCAACCTTGGTCAACGTACTTAAATTTTTAAAGACCAACAACTATAACCTAATTGTGTAACCCAAAATCCAACAGCCAGGGTAATCTAAAATAACTAGATCAACTGCAAGATCAGTGATGACAATTTTATCAAAGTAACCATAGACAAAAGCAAAGATGGGATTGCTGCTAACTGAATTTAATAGAATATTAGAAGCTTAGCATGTCAAATGTGAAGATGTTTCAGAGAGCTTCTTTTTTTTTTTTGTGTGTGTGTGTGTGTGTGTATTGGGTTTTGGGGGAGGGGGATTGATAGTTCACAGTCATCACTTTCCTTAGATCGAGTAAATCTTTTCCAAAGAGCTGCACAAATAATTGTTCCAACAGCCATCAACCATATGAATGACACCGAGTAGTCCACAATAGGGCGATCTGGCGAATATAACAGCAGCTCCACTGGATTAAGAAAAAGAAACACACATATCATAAGTATTCCAACTGAAATAAAACAAACAAGAAATAATAAATAATTTTGCACCAATTACAGAGTCCCTATGACAAAGTTTGCAAATAAAAAGTCATTTACTCTAGCCAACAAAGCTTAGCATTCATTCCTTAATGGTAAGTTATTAAACGCATCAAGCCAGTGCAACCCATTTTTTTTAGCAAGAATCAAGCCAGTGTAACCTTTGAGAGTCATACACTAAACCTCTTTTTTTTATGTGTACTCAATCTCTGTTGTAGCTATTAGCATCCAATACAGATTGTATAAGTTGTAGTACCCTTACATAGTTTTGGACAATTCATACATCTTGAGAGAGCTTTTGAGTGTTGGAATTAGGCCCAATGTCCTTTTTAACATGCTATTAAAGTTGGACTCATCCCCAATGTCAGGCCAACCATATTATGTTACACCCCAATCCCCACTCCAGATGTCAACCTTGGGCTTCTGGGGAAGGGGATGTTGGAAATTTCACATCAGTTAAATGTATGAGTTATAGACATCACTTTCGAGCTAGCTTTTTGGTGTTTATAGACATCACATCCATTTCCCTGGTGGTAATTGTTCTTTCCTGGAACATGCCCTGAATCTACTCAATACATTAACAGATGTGAAATGTCAAGATGAGTGTAAACCATCTTATAAATGATACTCATCTCTTCATCTTTTAACTGACTTGTCTGGAGATACATGAAACATGCAGCATTGTATGGTTATAGGTTGTGCGTTGTTCATGTTGAAACGCTGAAAAAACTTCTTGATATAGGCCTATTGAACTCTAACCCATAAACCTTCATCTCAAACTCATCGCGTAACTGCTTTTTCAAAGTATTACCCTATGACATGCCTTTTGCGACGAATGTACATCACCCGTACACAACAATTAATTGACTATCATCTAAAAGCTTTCTATAATACACATAACTTTCATATGATTTCCTATGGAATACACCAATAATCTATGCAACAAGGATCTCTTGGTTGCACCAAAAGTTAACCAGAAAGAACTGGGATTATATTTCATATTTACCACAAAAACTGAATAATATGTAATATGAGAAACGTGTATTGCATCATAAGCTACTCAACCTCTTAACAACAAAATTTAGAATCCAAAGAAAAGCTAATACTTCACAAAACATTTGAGCAATATAGATGAGGCCAGGGATTTACCTTTCTTTCCTGCAGCTATGAATTTATCAATAATATCTCCCCCATCATTTGAAATTGAAACGACGGGAACGGTTACATTAGATATGGTAGAATTGTTAGGACAAGCAATCTCCAGAGCACCTAAATAAATGCAGGAAGCGGTGTCATTCAGAAAGAGATGAGGGGAACATAACTAAACAGATCTTGAGACCTAAGATGACAAAGTGAGTCAGGGTTACAACCTCCTTCAGTATTTATTAGCACAACACCTGATGCACCTCCTGCTTGGGCAACCGTAGCCTTGATTAGAAAATCACATTCACCGCGACGAGCTAGTGCAATAGAGCCTGATAACTAGAACAATTGATATCTCTGCATTATTTAATGTAAAACTAACACTACAACTATTTTTCGTTTTATAGGGCAATACCAAAACTATTTTTTGCAACAGCCAAACTGAAATGAAAACTTAGACTTCTTTGGTGTTTCAAAGTAAAAACAGTTTGTAACAAACATTATAGATTATAAATGAGCCAACTTAGTTATACTTAATTTCTGACAGATCTTAGTGTTAACCCTTTCAGGTTATTTTATAACTGAAACGCTTCCACACTAGTATGTGATTCAATTTCTGCACAATCTACGAGTCTATATCCATCATTGTTTTCATGATAGGAAAGTTCTTGTTTATAGGAGCTAAAAGTTTAATCTTATCCTTTCGAAAGCAATATTTGAACTCAAAAGAATTAGTGGATAGTCATACTAGTTTGAGGGCTTCTTCAAATCTTAAAATCTATGTTCTAAACACCAAATGGGTACTTTTCATCCACAAACACCACTAGTATATGTATCTCTAAAACCAACACAAGCTCAACGAAAGAAAAAGCGAAGACAATTGCAACTTTAGAAGACTCACAAATTGTTAGTAAGGAAAATTTTTGCAATTGGCCCATTATATGATTACTTTTAGTAAAGAGTACCTTTTCGATTTTCACACTTGAAACTTACTCTATAAGTTTTTCATATGCTGAAATAAGTTGTTTTATGCAGACTCTAGAAGCTTGAATTTAGTTAACTGCCTGATACTTAAATGCATGCTTAACCTATAGATGTTGTCACCTAAGTTTATGTATTGCATGTAAAAGAAACTTTGTTGTCACCTAAGTTTATGTATTGCATGTAAAAGAAAAAGTTTCTTTAGGCAATTTGTTGCTCTTGAGGTAGGACTTCTATCATTCTCCAATATTCTCAAATCAACAAATGACGGGTGCAAGATCATCAATAAAGATCAAAGAAACAAAATTGGGCAGTGAAAGAACTACGACTATTATTTAAGCAAGCAGCACCTTGGACTATCAAAATTGGGCATTAAGTTCCCGCTCATAGCGGGAGCTTAGTGCACCGGGCTGCCCTTTAAGCAGCACCTTGGACTATGTTTCGGGTATCCACCTAAAAGTAAAGGTGTGTAAGGAATGTGGGGTAAATACCTTGGTGGAGGAAGCAGAACAGCTATTCGGAGGTTGAGTATAAACAGCAGGCAATCTGGGGGCATGTTTAGTATCAGTGGGTAATACAGATCCAAATGCTGCACTCAAGCCAACTATTGAATCTTTCTCAGCACCATTAACCCACAACTTCACCAGAATCTTTGAAAAAAAGGAAGAAAAAGAATTAAATACAATAACATCAGTAAGTTCCCATATGTGCTGAACAGAACTAAAACAGAGAATACTTCTAGACCAACTAAAAAATGGACCAAACCAATCTTATCTATGTTGTTAAATTCCATCTCTTCGAGATATGATCAGATTGCAGTTTTCTTAATTCCTGAATAAATCTTTATACAGTAACAACCAAAAAACACACACCCGAACCTCAGAATTATTACATTATTTATTTAAGCCCCAAGGCTTAGCTCAAGTATCAAAAGTTGAGGGACTTGTGACTTAGGTCACAGGCTCACAGGTTCGAGCATTGCATCATAAGAACTAAGCTTGGTATTTAAGTGGAGAAAGAGAGGCAGGCCCATTATCTCCGAGTTTCGAACTCTGCGATTGGTCCTGCGGTTGGCTCCAGATGAATTTCTAAATCATCAAAAATATTTAATTTCAGAATCAAATGTCACTTGTTGCTGCGATGTGACCAGGAACTCACGGATTCGAGCCAAGGAAATAGGCTCTTACAGAAATGCAGGAAGGCTGCGTATAATAGACTCTTGTAGTCCGGCCAATCCCCGAACCCTGCGTGTAGCAGGAGCTTAATGCACCGAGCTGCCCTTTTTAATCAAATGTCACGTGTGGGATTATACTAGGTATGGTGTTGTTGTTGTAGAATCAAATGCCTCCAAATTCATGAACCCAAATGCAAAGCCTCCTCACCCGTTCAAAATCATCTCATTACAACACCCCAAAAAAAAGTTCTTAAACTTTAGAAACCCCTCAAAAGAAAATAAGAAAATTCATAACCCCATCATAATTACTCCCTAAGATAAACAAAATGAAGGTTGAGTTATCCTAATATGTTCTTGCCAATACTCATCATGAGCTAACTTTTTGGTGTTGTTAGGCTCAGCATCCATTTTTATTAATGAAAACCACAAAATTATAATATCAAATAAAAAATCTACAAAAACCCCATAGAAAAGAATACAAAGACATGACATTTTCAACACAATTACCACCCAAAAACAAAACCCACAATTCTTTTTGCCTGAAAAGAAAATATATACGAAAAGGGGGTTGGAAATAATTTACCGTATTGATATCATTGCTGCAGGAGCTATGAACATTGGTAGTAGGGGCAGCATGTGCTGATATTATTGATGATGATAAAATCAGAATAAAAAGGCTCACTTGTCCATAATCAAAATGCAATGAAGAAAATGCCATAATTTAATTTCCCCCTTTTTTTCCTTCCTTTATTTATTTTTTGTTCCTAATAATATATCTGGTGATATATTTGCTCTTCGCCTATTTCTGCATTGATGAAAAGAAAATTTTTTGAGGGGGAAGGAAGAAGGGATTGACGTTGGCACGTTTTTGACGTTTACGGTTTTTGACGTTAATCAAAGGAAACGAATTTTATTCAGTACCCAACGGTGATACAGAGGGGCATTACTGTAAATTGGTAAATGATTGCGATTTTGCGATTGTAACTCGTATTCACCAATTCGTTTTATACATCGCATTTTACGTTTTATAGATACACTTCATTAATTGCGTTTACGTATTGCATTTCACAAAGCTCTATTAGTTATCTCTATCTATGTATATTAACGTCTTTGTGGGAGAAAAGATTGTTTATTTTTCAATTACAGGCTCGAAAATGGCTAGCCTGCTACTTTCGGGAGAAATTCAAAAATAACCAGATTTACAAGTGGTTATTCAAAAATAGCCACAGTTTCAAAAGTAATCGAAATTTAGTGTGATTTTTAAAAATAGCCAGATTTACAACTGGTCGTTCAAAAATAGCCCAATTTCAAAAGTAATCGAAATTTAGCCACTTTTTATGTTGTATTGGGTGATACCCTTTTTTGCTTGAGCCCGACCAGGTTGGGTCCGGTCCGGAGCGAGTCGGGGCCATCGAACCCGACCTGGATGCAAGGTAGAACGACGGCCACGACTACAACCGAGGTCGAATCATTTCGGGACCGTTACAGGGCTCGATATGAGTCACCACCGGATGGAGAAACACACAAGGTCGGAAGCCGGACTCGTAACGGATAACCAAGCGTCGCCGGATATCTCGCCCAAACGTGATTTTCTCAACCACTTCAGGCCATTAAGGCGTAATTACAGGGATCCACGATGTAATCAATTTACCTACCTTATTTTTACCCTTAATCAGAATGTATAAAAGGGGATCTCTCTAAATTCTTGTAGGCCATCAAGCACAATTGTTCTAAGCAATATTATATTCTGCGATTATTTACTTTAACAGCAATTGTTGAGTCTTTATCTTTATTTTTCCTCAACCTAAAAACCTTTTGTATCTTTTAGTTCACGGATCCTTAAAACCCCATATAAATTCAATTGTTATCCGAATTCGAGGGTAAACAGTTTGGCGCCCACCGTGGGGCTAAGGATATTGGTGAGCTCTTTGGTACTCTTTCTTGACGCATCACAATACACTGGTTCTTTGCAAAAGAGTCCATCTTACATTCAAATTACCAACTCATAGAATGGCACAATCAATTAACAACGAACTTGAACAGCAGACAGGAAACAATGGAATGCCCGGGCTCGAAAACCCGATAGATGCCGATTCCCGGATGGCGCTCAACACTGATCAGGCCTCCGGATCATCGCATAGCGTCCGGGGAGAGGACGATTCGAGGGCCCAGGCAGTCGGCGAAGAGACTATCAACCTTAAAATGATTTTTGACATGCTGCAAGCCCAGCAATCGGCTATAGCTCAGCTCCAGAGCCCGGGTCCAGGAGCCTGTCAGGTCCGAGGAGGCTCCCCGTGCACTGCAATCATCAATCC